CAGCACATTTTCATCTTGCCTGAAACTACTGAAGTCCATTATTTCTGTCATGTCCCTTACATAATTGACTAGGGTTTGATAATCACTCTCCTTTTTGCAGTTACTTACATGTTTTCTTCCTTTCTTTCATCATCTGGGTATTAGCTGCATTTTTTCTGTCATTTACAATTAGCAACAGCAGAAGTAATATAAGGCATCACTGTTCTGATAACAACTTTAAATGACAAGAACCTAGAACAAGATACAGGAGGTCTGAGTTTGTCTCAGTGCTAGCATGAGTTAGCTACGTGCCTTTAGAAAACATGACTTATTTGTACCTCAGTTTCCTTTCCCATTAAATCAGCATGTGCCAAAAGTAGGTCTCGGTATCTCTGGGCAGACCAAATAAGGCAAAGAAAGAATGTCCTTGGGAAAAGGCATTGACTGCAGGAGATTCTCAGATGACCCAAAACTGGGAGGGATGGCAAACATACTGGGTGGCTGAGTCAGGATATGAAATGATCTGAATAGGCTAGAACACTGGGCTGGATCAAATCAGATGAAACTTAGTAGGGATTAATGTAAAGTCTTATACCAGAGCTCAAAAAGTCAGCATCACAATTTCAAGTTGGGTCTTTCTAAAAATCATCTGGGGGTCTTAAAGGACCACAATTTAGCTATCCTGAAATGCTGTCACATGAGAGAAGAATTTGATTCGTTCTCCTTGATCTTAGAGGGCAGAAGAAGAAACTATGAGTGGATGTTAACAAGTGGCAAATTAAAGCAAAAGTAAAGGCACAAAGTAAAGAAAATACTTTCCTAAAAGTTGAAAGGACTGCCTCAGGAGGCAGGGAGTGACCCCCACCAGAGATCTTCGAGGACTAGCTGCATGACCTATTATTTGTGTTTATTGGGTCTGCTCATTTGTGATGTTGAAAATGGGTCATTCTCCATTAATTGGGGAATGGCTGAACAAGTTGTGGTATATGAATGTAATGGAATACTACTGATGAGCAGGCTGATTTCAGAAAAACCTGGAAAGACTTGTATGGTCCGATGCTGAGTGAAGTGAGCAGAACCAGAAGAACGTTGTACACAGTAACAGCCATGTTGTGCGATGACTAATATTGATAGACTTCACCCTTCTCAGCATTGCAAGGATCTAAGACATCTCCAAAGGCCTCATGATGGAAAATAGTATTCACATCTAGAGAAAGAACTATGGAGTTTGAATGCAGATTTAAGCATACTATTTGCTACTTTTTTTCTTCTGTTGTGTTCTGTTTCCTCTTTCTGGTGGTTCCTCCTATTGGTTCTAATTCTTACTTACAACATCACTAATGTGAAAATATGTTTAACAGGAATGTATATGTATAGCCTATATCAGATTGCGAGCTGTCTTGGGGAGGGAGATGGGGAGAGGGGGGAGAAAAATTTTAAATTCAAAAGCTTATGGAAGTGATTGTTGATTAATCAAAATAAATTAATAAAAAATGGGTCATTCTCATTTATAGTGGAAGCTAAAATCATATTTAAATTTATGTATTTGCATATCAGGTGCACAATGAGCTAAGTCTAAATTTTAATAGGGGGAAAAGAGGAGGTTGGATTACATGTGAATTATTTTGCAGGGTTTTCAATGAAATACATAATGCCCTAAAAGAGTTTGGTCTAACTATCCATGCAGGAAAAACCAAGTTAGATAGAGAATGTCTCAGACGTTCCCTGGCTGTGTGACTTTAGGTAAGTTGCTTTGCCTCCATCTGCCTCAGTTTTTTCATCTGTAAAATGGGGATAATTACAGCACCAACCCCCCGGGTTGTTGTGAGGATACAATGAGGTCATAATTTGTAAAGTGCTTTGCATGGTGCCTGGCACGTAGTAGGCACTATATAAATGCTATTATTGTTAAATAAAGTTTCCAGCTCTTTATCATGGGTGTCTAACACCCAGCCGGCCATAGACCTGATGCCCCCAGCTGTGCTGTTTCAAATTACACAGTATTTTTCAGGCACATGTCCCATGTAACTCTTTATTAAATTAAAACAAATAAGAATTAAATAAGCATTTTTAAATATATCTTCTGGGTTTTATACACTTCCCTATCAGTGTAGTGGATTCATAATCAGGAAGACCTGAGTTCAAATCCTGCCTCTGGCACCTTCTCACTATGTGACCCCTTAACCTTTCTGAGCCTCAGTTCTCTTATCTGTAAAATGAGGATAATAACACTTATCATACCTACCACACAGGATTGTCATGAGGCTTAAATAAAATAATAGATGGGAGGTGCGTTCCATACTTGAAAGCATTTTATATAAAGTATCACATGTTTGTCTTTCAACAACAACCAAAAAAAACCGGAAAATCAAAACTGATGGACAAATATTCTGCACCCATAGACCCCTACCTGTCTACTGAGAGGAAGGAATTGTACTTTGTCTTCTGTGCCTGACACCTATGTAGACAGTTAACTCTGCCCAATGGGCCATGTTGATTCTTTTTACAATTTATACTCTTAATCAAATTATCAAACATCTAGTGGCTCTCCAGATATCTCAAGAGTTCTATTTTTTCCTTCCTTGTCTGATAACTTATATGAGATAAGTTCCCTGTTAATTCTATACAGAAAGGTGTGTGTTCTCATTTGTAAGGTTTGAGATTAAGAGAATACTTTAAGGTTTTTGGTGAAAACCCCAAATTCCAAAATGATTTGATATGCCTTGAAATCAAGATCAAAACCAGTGAGAAACAAGAAAAGGCTTAAATCAATGTAATACTAGGATAATTAGATATTTGATGAACCAAACCTAAGGGCGTGCAGCTCTGCTCTGAAAGGTTGTTTCAAAAATAACTAATTCATTATCTTCTTAAACGTGTATGTAGGAGTGCAAATAACACAGTTGATTAAAATCCCCGAGGACAGAACCGCACTGATGAAGAAGGCCGAAAGGTTCAAAAATGTAAAGATCAAGGCCTGAAGTTTGGGATCTAAGCAGATGAAAACATTTATTCAATAACTGCATGATTTAGCATTTGGAGAGTCACCGGCTATCCCGAACCAGCTGGGGCAAGAGGACCTGTGTGGGAATGTACTACAGCAAAAGAGTATTACATTTGGAGGCAAGAGAGCTGGGTTCTAATTCCACCTTCGGTACTTACTACCTGTGATGTGGGGGAGTTGTTAAACCTTTCTGGGTCTCAGTAGCTTCACTATCTCTACGTCCTTTCCAGTTCTAAATCCCAGGATAGGGTGTAGTTGATTCAAAAGAATGCTGGATCTGCAGTCAGAAAACATGGGTTCAAATCCTAGCTCCAGTGCTGAAGACCCGTGTGACCTTGGGCAAAACTCTCCACTCTTCGGGGCCTCGGTTTCCCCTTCCATAAAATGAGGGGTTCGGACGAGACGGAATCTAAGGTCCCTTCTAGGTCCGATTGTTCTGATTCTAGGAACAGTGATGTGAAAGCTCCTCAAATTTCTGACATTTCTGAACAAGGAATCACATCTGCAAAACCCATAAGATCGTTTCCACGTTGTCACAGCCATGACTACGCAAGGGCGCAGTTTTCTCCCTACTTCAGGTAAGGCCCAGACAATACACCCGAATCCATCCATCAGAATTGTATTCACTGCGGTGAAAAGCCCTTGATCTTTCGGAGAGGACTAGAGAGCTATGATCACTGGACCTTGAGGATGACTGGGCCTCAGCGCCCACACATAAAACAGCAAATTCGTTTGAAGTGGTCCAGGGGCCGGCCAGTTCAGTCGTGGAGGAACAGCACCCGGCTCCTGAGAAGGGATCAATCGGGAGGAGTTTCTGCCTCTTCCCTCTCCTTACACAGAATTCCGCCGGGTGACCAGAGGGGTCTGAAGAGGCGAAAGGACAATCAGGGGTCCCCCGGGGTGTGGAGGAAACCGAGGTAAACAGAGGGTAAGTGGCTTGCCCAGGGTCACCCGGCCAATGCGTGCCAGAGGCAGGATTTGAACTCAGACCACTCCCTGTGCTTATTGAACTGAATTCTGCATTCTGATTCGGGGGGCCACGTTGTAATGCCCTTCTGTGTCTTCCAGAGGAGAGGAATCCCTTTGTGGCACTGATCGCGTGCCCCTGGAGACCCTCGGCGGTGTGCAGAACGCGATGCTTCGGGCGACCTCTCGGTGCGCCCGCCCACCCCTTCCTCACCTTCTCCCAAGGCTGAGCTCTCCTCCCAGTTTCGAGGCTGCGATCGCCCGTCTCAGTGGGAGGGGCTGCAGGCTCCTCGCGGTCTAGCCCCTGCGGCTGCGGAGCCAGCCTCCCCGGCTCGCCTCCCCAGCTGCCTTGGGGACGTGTCAATGCCCCTGGTCTGGCCTCCCTCCAGGAACAGAGCCTTCCTCTGCGGGAGGGAGAGGGGCGCCTCCAGCGGCCTCCTGCGCCGCCTGCTCACCGCGCACGGTCCTGCCTAGAGCAGCGCCCGCATCCCTCCACGAGGGACCTGACAGCTGGACAGCTGGACCTGGCCAGGCAAGCCCCGCCCCTGCTACACAAGCCCCGCCCCGGCTCCCTGCTGCCCGGCCCCGCCCCGGCCCCGCCTGCCCCGCCCCCGCTCCACAAGCCCCGCCCCGGCTCCCTGCTGCCCGGCCCCCGCCTGCCCGGCCCCCACCCGGCTCCCTCCTGTCCGCCCCTGCCCCACAAGCCCCGCCCCCGCTCCACAAGCCCCGCCCCGGCTCCCTGCTGCCCGGCCCCGCCCCGGCCCCGCCTGCCCCGCCCCCGCTCCACAAGCCCCGCCCCGGCTCCCTGCTGCCCGGCCCCCGCCTGCCCCGCCCCCACCCGGCTCCCTCCTGTCCGCCCCCGCTCCGCAAGCCCCGCCCCTGCTCCCTCCTGCCCCGCCCGATCGCGTCACGTGGTGCCGCCTCCAGCCAATCGGCGGCGCCGCCCGGGCTATTCAAACGCTCTCGGGACACACGGCCGACGGTTGCTGCCGCGGCTGGAGGGGGCGGCGGAGGCCCGGGAGGCTTCGCTGCTCGGGTTCCGGGCGCCGCCATGGCGGGAGGCCCGTGGCGCTAGCAGAGGCCGGCGGGGAGCATGGAGAGCCGGGGGGTGACCACGGGGCCCTACCGGGCCACCAAGCTGGTAAGGGGGCCCGCCGGGCCTCAGTTTCCCCAGGTGTCCCTGAGGGCCCCCGCGGCGATCCCTCCGGGGCCCTCCACAGACTGGCCCCGGGCGCGGGGAGGGTCGAGGCCCCAGGTGCTCCGGCCCCAGATCTCGGGCTCGCTCCGCTGCGTGGCCGGATGTCTGAAGCGCGACCTGGGGGGAGGGGCGGTCAGCGGCCGGACTTTGGGGTGGGGGAGGGCGGCTGCCCCTGTAAACACCCCGGAGGCGTGGGCCTACCCCTCTGGGTCACGTGGGTGAGCTATTTTTATTAAAGAGGTCTCAAGCCCCCCACCCCCCGTCGAGGTCGGGCCTGGACTGGGGGGAGAAGGAGGGAGGGGTAACGTCCTTGCGGGTGAGACCCGAGAGGAGTCCAGGCCGGGCCGGTGGTCATTTGATGGGGGCTCCAGTGTAGACGCTTGTTAGAACGCTGACGTCAGCGCCGTCCACACTGCTCTCAGCCGTCCCCTAAAGGAACGATGCAGAGTCTGGAGGAGCCTCGTTATGTAAGTGGGGAGGCTGAGGCCCGCCGAGGTCACGGGTCCGTGGGGATCCGAACTCGCATCCTCCGATCAAATCCAGCCCACTGTTAGTTAAGTGTGACCGTGAGTTAAGTGTCGGTATTTGTAACTTCTGCTGCGGATTTGGATCACAGCGTCTCCAGAGCACTCACTCTGCAGCGTGGAAGGAGACTGTGAAATAAACAGCTGGGACACTTCAAACAATTCCTCAACTTACTGTTTCACTGAAGTCTGTGGGTTTTGATTAGTGCTGGTAAACCCCCTTCCCAGTGCAGGGTCACAAAGCAAAGCGGTTGAAACTTTTCACAGGTTTTCTATGTGGGCTGGCGGTCCCGTGGAGTACTTTGGGATGAAAATTGCTGTGTAAAAATGATATTCGGGACCGGAATTAACGAAAATCATTTAGACCACGGTCATTTTTGTGCCTGTCCGATATAGGGACGTTTTGTCTTCAATCATTTTACAATGTGATAGGCATGCTGACTTTATTCGAGGTAACTCTGTCTACCAAATACATTAAAAATGAAATGTTTTCAATATTCTCCTTTTTGCAGTGGAATGAAGTTACTACCTGTTTTCGAGCAGGGATGCCTCTGAGAAAACACAGGCAGAACTTTAAAAAACATGGCAACTGTTTTACTGCCTGTGAAGCAGTAGATTGGCTGTATGAACTATTAAGAAGTAATAGCAATTTTGGTCCTGAAGTTACAAGACAACAGACTGTTCAGTTGCTAAGAAAATTCCTCAAGAATCATGTAATTGAAGATGTTAAAGGAAGATGGGGATCAGAAAATCTTGATGACAACAGTCAGCTCTTCAGGTGCTGTCCAGATGTGGTAACTGTAGAATCAAACTGCTTAACAAGAAGTTGGTTTCTTGATGAATTATTTATTTCAAGTTATTTTGCCAGAACAAAGACTTTCTGTAGGGAATATAGCTTTTCCTTCCCTCCTCCTCCCCTCACCACTCTCCATGTAGGTCAGTGTAGGTCTCAATTTTATCTGAGCCCCTTTGGAATCGTACTCTTAAAGTGAATTGGCTTAAAACTGGGGATTTTGAAATGCAAAACAACATTTTATTGAAGAAATTGGAACTAAGTTAGACAAGACCAGAGAAGACACGAAGTGTCCCTGTTTTCACTTATTTGAAGGACTGTCTTATAGAGGGGAATTAAACTTACTCTGTCTGGCTCCAGAGGACAGAACCTGGAGCAGTGAGTGATAAGATAAAGATTACAATTTAGGCTCGATGGCAAGACAAACTTTGTAACCAGGAGAGCTGGCCCCCACTAGAATGGAGGCTGACCCTTCCCTTTCCTTTGTCAGGTATGTTGCAGGAGGGATTCTGCTTGTGGAGAGGTTGAAGGATGGCTTCAGGGGTACCTTCCAGCTTCTTCTGTGAAATTTAAAGGCAACGGATATCAATGAAAACAAACTGAGATATAATCAACTTTGAATATTTATGAAATGATGGGAGGCATTTTAAGGTCAGCCTAAGTGAGTGTTAGCAGTGTAAAAAAAATTAATTTAGATTTCCGATTATATTGTAGCATAGATCATATTTATATGATTATGTCCCACTCTTCATGACCCCATTTGGGGTTTTCTTTGCAAAGATAGCTAAGGGTAGTTTGCTGTTTCCTTTTCTAGCTTATTTTTCCCATGAAGAAGCCAAGGCAAACAGGGTGACTTTTGAACTCAGGTCTTCCTGACTCCAGGCCCAGAGCCACCTGGCTCCCTCCAATATGATAATAGCCAACCACATATTTACTGAAAGCTGTTTTGTATACCTGCTAGTTGTGTGACCCTGGACATATGCAAAATCAAGCAAAACAAATTTTCTCGTTGGCCATGTCCAACAATGTGTGTTTTACTGTGCACCTTGAGTTCATGACCTCTTCTGTCAGGCAGTGTAGGTAGCATTCTTCATCATCAGTCTTCTGGAGTCATGGTTGTCACTGTTGATTAGAGTTCTTAAGTCTTGTTTGTGGCTTTACAATGTGATTTCTGCATAAAGTGTTCTTTTAGTTCTACTTACTTTACTCTGCATTCATCCCTTTCTTCATTTTTTACAGCATAATAATATTCTATTGCATTTATATACCATAATTTGTCCGGCCATTCCCCAATTGATTGGAACCCCCTTAGTTTTCAGTTCTTTGCCACTATAGAAAGCACTGCTGGAAATATTTCGTGCCTTTGGGTCTTTTTCTTCTTTCCTTGTTTTCTTTGGAGAATGGACCTAGTACTATTATCACTGAGTGAAAGAATATCTTCATACTTGAGTGTTTGGGGGCATGGCTCCAAATTCCTTCCCATAATGACTGGACTATTCTCCAAAAATGGTGTATAAATGTGCCTATTTTCCCACAGACCCTCCAGCATTTGTCATTTTCCTTTTTCATCATCTTTACCAATTCAGTGGTCATGAGGTGGAACCTTAGAGCTGCTTCAATTTACATTTCACTAATTATTGGTAATTTGGAGCCATTTTTCATATGGCTGTTGACAGTTTAATCTCTTTCTTTAACAACTACTTGTTCATATCTTTTGACCATTTATCAATTGAAGAATTTAAAAATTCCTTTTGGAATAGTAATGCTAGTGTAAAATTTAGGATTTTGACGTGTAAAATAATATTCAATTTAATGAACTGGGGGTATAGAGGATGTGAAGGAGTTCACCCTAGATGGACTGGTTTTTTTTCTTAGTAGAGATGATATCAACTGCTTAGAATTCTAATGTGAACTCAGAACATTTTAGTTCTGTACAAGATCTCACAATCACCGAGCACCCCCCATTTTTATAAATGAAGAAAATGAGGCTCAGAAAGGTGAAATGATTTTCCTAAAGTCACATACATAGTTAGTGAGTGATAGAGCTGGGTCTGGAGCCCAGGAAAGGGGAAAGAATTTATTAAGCACTGAGGATGCCAAGAGATGGAAGGGACAGGTAGTACCAAGATGATGGAAAAACCAAGCTCTTTAAGGAGTAATAGGGCATATGGTCTCCTACCAAGAGGATAGTGGGTTCAAAGGTTACAGTGCTATGGGGCCATGGAATCCTTCCAGCAGTAGGAAATGAGGGTTGTTGGAAGAAGGGATAAGACCATGGCTCCCCTAAGTGGTAACAAATGATTCTGGCCTGTCTTCCCACCGATTGGCAGGTTGAGGTTGGGAGGGGAAGTCCCCTCTTTTCAAAGTTTTGTACGTGTTTTCCCAGACCACAGCAGCAAGTTTAAGACGTAGGGGCCACAAAGGCAGACAAAAAAATATGTGGAAAATAAAATGGTAAGCGATTACTTTTCACTGCAAGAGAAGAGACTTAAATTATTAAGAGGGCTAAAAAAGCTTAGTATTCTAGAGGCGTTTATTATGGGAGCAAAGAGCCTCATGCCAAGTTGGTGTCGTTGTATTACAACGTAGTATGGTGACCGATGTTCATGCTGTTGACCTTGAGTCGTCAGGAGAGGTTCTAGTACTTTGGGTATGTTTTATTTAAAGAGCTCGGTAAATATGATTAGAATGGTTTACCTCTGGAAAAATCACTTAAGTAAAATATTTCATTCCCTAGCAGGGCCAGATAATCTGATATTACTGTAACTTATTAATCAGTATGATTATCATACATAACAGCTACAGAACATGATTCCCAGTCTCACAATTTATATCAATTCAAATCTATTTTTGAAACAGGTTTCCTACAACTTCTCCACTAAAAAGTATACCACGCCATCATCCAGAATTGAGAAAAAGCAGCTTAGAGAATATTTCTAAAGAGAAAGAAAGTATCTTTAAGTTACGGCATTTATCTCGGAGAACTCCTAAAAAGCATGTCTATCAGGTAATACATGTTTCCAATCGACATGATTTCCAATAATCAATAAAAAGTGAAGTAGCCCTCCCCTATTTAAAGCTCATTCAGTTAATCCCAAACTTAAAAGTAGTTGGGTTTCAAAAGTTCATTTTAAGTCAGTTTTTTGGCATTCAGAGCAGCCTGATGTGCGTAACATGACTCTCGACAGTCAGCAGAGATCCAAAGAGATTCCCAGACAGGCACAGAACGGCTAAGCCACATGTTCCTCCTGCCTGCAGAGAGAAGGCATTTGGGCCAAGGGGTGATCTGTTTAAGGCCCAAGGAAAGTAAAGCAGCAGAGCCCAGAAAGACAGAAGCGAGGTACGCTGCGCTGGGGATGAGCCACGCGGCTCCAGTGGAAGAGCACAGCGGGTTAGCAAAGAAAGAGGAATGACCCGGGAAGGAGCAAGCGGACCAGACGTGATGTTTAAATGCAAGTGAAGGTTAAAATAATGTGGGTCCTGCAGGATTCAGAGAAAGAACAGGACAGAGGATAGAGGACTTAGATTTCTTTGGCTAAGGGAGTTACACCTCTGCTTCCTGTAGACCGTCCAGGAAGCCAGGTGGAGAGTAATCACTCCTTTTGTCTTAGAAAGTGTTTTAAATGGTATTCTTAATATGGTTTCAACTGTCTAATCAACATTTATGAAGTTACTTTTATGGAAAATGCATCGCTCTCGATCCCTGGGTAATGATGGGAGCACGTAGTTTTCACCAAGTCATCAGAGGTTCATGAAGGAAGGGAAAGGCAGAAGGCTGCACTCTCTGGGAGCTCCTCTCCATGCCTAAGAAAGTGCCTTCCAGGGTTTGTTTTAAATCTAGCAAACCCCAGGTGTTCCAGTTGAACAAAATGTCGTTTTTTCTGAGGAATGAGGAAGGTAGGAGCTTAGAATCATTTGCTGCTTGTTGGTACATACGCACTATTTGACTTAGTGGCCCAAAGTCGGGGACAGCCTTAGGTCTGCTCTTCTATAACCTTTTTACTTTAACAGAAGAAGAATGTTTTGAGCACACATTCATTTCAAGGGTCTGGTTTTTCCCTGGCTGATATGTGTAACCCACTGGGAACACATAATATCTTTCCTGGAAAGAGTAGTAACAGCTTACATTTATAGTTTTTTAAGCTTTGCAGAATACTTTTCTAACCATAGCTCTGTGACCTCAGTGATCAGCTTATCACTAGCCTGGGGAAGTCCAGCTTGTAAGGCTTGCATCGTACTTTATGTTTCCGTGTTAATAAGGAATTTGGTTTTAACTTATTCTTGCCGACAATGTAATGGTAGTTGTTAAGCACCTACTATGTGCCAGACTCTTCGAGGTACTGACAAAGAGTAAAGTGATGCCTTGTTACAAGGACCTTATGGTCAAAGAGAAGCGATCTCTTGTTATATGATGGGCTGCTTTTTAAAAGTTTCTTTGTATTTTAGTAATTTATTTGGAAGATTGAGTTTCTGTTTAAAAATGAAATGTTTCTTCAGTTATGCATGCTCTTCCATAACTTCATGAGTCTCAAGAAACTGACCTTAATACCCAGAGAAATTAAAGGGGCAACAAAGACCCCTGAGTTATGTCATAGAAGCCTAAATTCTGTCCTTGTTAGCCATAGATCTAATGAAGGAAGCTGCTTGTGGGGATGACCTTTCATAACTGAGGCAGGCAGCCCTTGTCTGCAGCACCACTTTAAAGAAATGACTAGATTACTAAGCATTTTAAGGAAAGCATTAATTATTTCCTATTTGGTAAATTATTTTAATACATTTTACCAAGCTAAACTTATGCTATTCATTTTTTAGGAAACTACAGAAAATGTTAAAAGTGAAATTGGAGGTGAAAATAAAGAAAACCCAGTAGAAGAAAGGGAGATAAGCCAAGAAGATATTGAAGAAATTTGGAGACATATTATTTTGATGCAGTAAGTCTGTATTTAGTTATGACCAAGTTCTTGAGTTATCCAGACTTTGGTCTTTTTTATTCAAATATACAAGTGAAAACTGTAATGTATAGTCTCAAAGAATTTAGGGTTTTCAGTTAAATTCTCTGTTTTTTGCCCTTTAAACCCAAATTTTATATACTTTCCTGAAATGACTATTATAGAATCCTAAAAAGTTATTGGGGGGAACAAAGTAATTCTTTCTTTCTCTCTCTCTTTCTGTCTATCTCTACACACACACATACACACACACACACACACACATCTGTGAAATTTTGTTAAAGGGAGAATGGGGAGATTATTTCCACTTATGTTCTTTTAAAAATAACCTCTTTGCAGATCAGATTTGATCTTTGAAAGAATCTGAGTGCAGCTTATTTTTATATTTTCTTTTCCTTGTTCTCTGAAGCAAAATTCTCTTTGTTGTTTCCATTCAGCTTACATACCATCTTAGGTACACTGTCTTTAGAAGAAGTCTTGGATCCAGCACAAGTAATACCTCAGTATATAATATATAACATGGCCAATACGAGTAAACACGGAGTAGTTGTATTGCAAAACAAAGCAGGTCAGTATGTCAAAGTGCGTTCAGTACTTAGAGAAAGGAGCTTGTTTGTTGGGATTGTGGCTAGAGTAAGGGTAGAACCAGACGTCGGAGTGATAGCACAGACAGTTATGTAGGGATGATGTTGAGTGATGCTACTAATGTTGTTTTAGGGGACTGGAGTTAGTGCACTGGGACGATTTTTGTGTTTATCCCCTGTCCTGCATCAGGCAAAACTCCCCTGCTGCCAGGGTTTAGCACTGAAGACGTGCAAGCAGGTGACTGGAAGACCCTCATTAGGATGTGATTGGTTATCACACAGATTGGCAGTGGAGGGAACGGGATCAAAATAAATCAGTCCAACAGAGCAGGCCATTCACAGACGCTAGTCCAGACTCCTTAGGGCCAGTGTTTTGCTTTGACTACATGTATAAAACTATTTATTTGATTGTATTTTTATATTAAAACTTTTTTCCGGTTTTACTACTCTATAGTCACGTCCTTTTCATAAGTGTTCTAGATGTGGGCTTTACTTTTGTCTATTATGTAGATTTATCTAAATATTAGATATATGAACAACAGCAACTTTTGTACAAATAATTTTATTTAACTGTTTGAGTGAATTTAAACTAAGGCCCCAATTCCCAAGAAATAGTCATGGCTTTATCTTGTTTAAGGCACAAAAGGACAATGCTTTGAACTATTGAAGAAAGCAGAATCCTCTTTATCCCATGCAGAGCATGTCAACTCTTCTAATAAATGAGAATCTAAGAATTAAACGTTCTTGTCTTTTCAGCCAAAATAATGTGAAATATTCCATTAAGTAGATGTTTTGTAATTATAACCATGTTAATATATAACAGAACCAGTTAAACTATTGCCCAATCCCAGACAAATCATATACTAAAATCAGAAATGTGTGGGTGATTTTAATCATTCACTAAAGCTTCACAAAGGGTGGCATGAAGGTATCCTTAAGTTAGCCAAAGCTATTTCCTTAGAATACAATCTGGCAGGCCTGACCAAGCTAAAAGGGCTTCGGGATGGACCGCTCAGTGATTGAGGAGATGCCAGGCGACTAAAGCTGGCCACAGCAGCTCATGACCACTACCAGTGTCCTAGAGGGTCTGTGTTCTTACCGCGTGTGATCCTAGATTGAGGAAGCATATGCTCGATAAGACTACCTAGGAAGAGATAAAACAGTAGTAATAGGAACTTGATTCTTGAATGAATGACAAAACCTTCACTAAGCCAAGCCCTGTCTATTCTCAAAGAGTTCACGCTCCTAAATGGAGAAGACATGACGAGTTGATATGGACCAGCACAACCCATAAAAGGTTATTCGTCATTCTTCCAACATTGTAGAGGAAAGCAAACTCCCAGGAAGTCACGATTCAGTTTCCTCTGTGGGTTTTTTTTTGGGGGGGGGGGGGAACCACACCTTCCTGACCAGGGCAGCTCGGCACACAAATGGAATCGCTGTTCCTAAGTTCACCTGCATGCTACTTAAGGAATTAGAGGAGAATTGATATGCCGTGAGCTTCTAAAATTATGCAAATCCAGATGCTGCATAGAGTTATTTATGGCATTGCTTTTATTATCATTCTAAGTAGGTGAATTATTGACTGTGTTTTGTTTTGCTGTGTAGACGACCTTCCTCACTGGGTACTATCTGCTATGAAGTGTCTAGCAAATTGTAAGTTATGCAAGAAAGTTTCGTTTTATTATCTTTAATGGAAGAAATGAGATGTTTAAAAGTTTATTTTAAAAAGGTCTGAATAAAATTAAAGTGAGACCCAGAGAATCAAAATTCCATAGATATCTTTTTAAATTGTGTATTTTGTGTTGCATTTTTGGACTTTTGGTGGCTTTTTTGTTTTTTAACTGGCTTATTGTCCTCTGATAGGATTAACATAAAATTTGTTTAGCTGGGCAGAATGATAAAGTGTATTCTTTAGCCTTTTGAGCCTAGACCTGATCATCCTCCAGGCCTGGAATGCCCTCTCCCCTTACCGCCGCCCTCCTGACTCCTTGCCTTCCTGTGCAACACGGCTGTTTAACTCCTTTGTGTATGTTTGGATTTCTTCACTTTTTATTTGTGCTGTAAATAGTGTTGTATCTTCCCGTCTCCCCCATGAGAATGTAAGTTTCTTACAAGCAGCACCGGGTTCGTTCTTTGTCCTTGCATCCCCAGTGCCTGCAGGCGCATAGTAGGCTCTTAGTCCCTGTGCTGATGCAGACTGAAGTCACCAGCACCGGGCACGCTACACACAATGGCTACGGCAATAGCCACAGAAACATTAACCTACAGGTCCGGTGACATGATGAACGAAGGGAGTGAGTATCCTGGTAAAGCCACGTTGTAGCCTTTTCTAACCAGTCATTTTAATCAGATTTTCTAGAATTTTACCAAACATTAAAGCCAAGGTTTCTGCCCTGTATTGTTTAGCCTGTTCTCTTCCCTTTTTTGAAAACTAGAACAGCATTGCCATGCCCTAAATCCATGTTGTCATTCCCATTCTCCCTGATTTTTCAGAGATCAATTAATAAGTGTTTATTAGCTGCTCTGGGCCAGGTGTGGAGGCCTAGAGCCGCCAAAAATGAAACCATGGCTGCTCTCCAATTGCTTATGTTCTATCCAGGAAAACACTAGGTGCCTCCAGAAGTATATGCAAATTAAGTTCAAGGTAGTTTGGAAGGGACCCCACTAGCCTCTGGGAGATCATGCAGGAGGCGGTGCTTGTGCTGAGTCATAAGGAAGTAAGAGATGCTGCAGGGGGAGGTGAACATCAGGCACTGGGGAGAAGTGTGAGGAACAGGGAGAGACAAGGTCAGGTTCACCAGAGAGTAGAGTTGAGGAGGGCGTGATGGCTACATACCCACCACGTGAAGAGCCGTGAATTCCAGACAGTTTATTTTTAAACGTAAAGGCCACAGGGAGCTTACTCAAGTGTGTGGAGAAAAGGAGACACTAAGACCTGGAATTTAGGAAAACCACCTTGGAGCTGCCGGGCACAGTGTGACTTGGAGAATGAAGAGAGATGAAGAATAGGAAGCAGAGAGAAGGCTCTGGTTATGGGAATGGGGAGAAGGAGCTGAAAGAGAGCCGGGGAGGGTGGGGAGAAACGGCATTGAATGACAAGCTAGATGCGTGGGATGAGGGAGGAATGGAGAAGGATGGTGGTGACCTTGGCAGGAACATCCAGGCAGTGGTTTAGCAGCTCAGATTGCCCCTTCTTACCTTCCATTCACTTATTCTGTTATTATTCTTATTCATTCTTATTCTTAATCATCCTTATTCCAACCTTGCCGGTCCAAAAATCATTCTCCTTAGGAGAGAAAACAGATGAAATAAGTTGAGCATTTTTCTGGGCCATCTCTCACTCCATCCACCTAAAAGAGCAGTCCTTTTCTCTTTAATCTTCCTCTTTTGTTAGCTTTAGAATTGTCTGTGGGCTTCAGCTCACTGAGCTTTTGTATTTCCAGCCCTGTTCTGACAGGCTCATGCCCTGCCTCTTTTGAGAGTCACCCCTTTTCCTTGCCCTTGCCTTGGTCTCTTTACAGCTTCATTTTGCCGATGTCAGCTAATCCCTATGATGAGCTTCCTACCCCAGCACATAACCTGCCCTGCCTTTGGCTGCTGCCTGTCCCTGCAGTGACATCTAGCACCCATCTACCCGTTTTTCTACCCATGTACCTCGTGGGCTTTCCTTTACTTTCTGTTGGACTTGCTATTCTTTTTCCTACATATACATAAAACATTAAAGATCAGTTATAGAGAGGTTTATTGTTGAAGTGTACAGCTCTTAAAAGAAACTTTTTTAAAAGAAGATTTGTGGTACAACCATATATACCCTTTTCTCAATCTTTTAGGGCCAAGAAGTAATGACCTGAGCCAACCAACTTACGTTGGATTTGAACGAGATGTATTCCGAACCATTGCTGACTATTTTCTAGATCTCCCAGAGCCGCTACTTACTTTCAAATATTATGAGTTATTTGTTAATATATTGGGTATGTATGACGTCTTGGTTCCTATGGATTTTCGTTTTTGGACTTCCCTTGTATAAAAAATGCAAAGGAAACCTTTACTGTAGAGAACTTTTTAATTTCATTATTAAAATGATTGAATTCTTAGGGTAATTAATACATGAATATAGATAGTAGAAGTCCTAATTATTTTCTGATTGGAAATATTTGAAGTAGAAATTTTAATCAGCTGTGCAAATTTTTTTTTTTTTTTTTGAAGTAAAACAGTCATATTTTGATGGGAAAAACTCTGTCTTGCATGTTTGCATTTTAATCTTGCATGTTTGTTTTTTAAGTGGCCTCTGAATTAAATACCTGCTCTTTATATATCACTAACAATATATGATGCTTTTTTTTAACTTTTCTGTTTTTGTCTACTGTCAAACCAGTTGCATCTTAATTTTTGTTTCATTTTCTGTTAGTTGTCTGTGGCTACATCACGGTTCCAAATAGAACCAGTGGAAAACATAAAATCCAAGATGATCCACAGTCTTCAAAAGGCCTCCGTGTAAATAGTATGAACTCTTTCAAATCAACTGAGTGTCTTCTTCTTAGTCTACTTCATAAAGAGAAGCATAAGGAAGAATCAGAAACCCCTGATACTCTTCATGTAAATGAGAAAGAATTGAAAAACCAATGCACTGAGAAGCTGCCCCTTTGCGATCCAAGCAGCAGAAGATCCAGGGCTAATGTGTTAATTGGAGGAAGTTGTCAGAACCTAACAGGTTTGAAAAATGAACCTGTGTTGCCTCTATCTAAGCTTAAGCCAAGGTGCTATTCCTTGGAAAGAATTGTAGATACTTCAGGGTTTGGTAGTACAGACGGCCCGAGCTTCAGTCAGTCTGATCTTAACGTAGCAGGACAAAATAAAGAAAAACCATTCTTGGATTCTGAATCTGAAGAGAACTCCAAACTGGCTACGTGTTCAGACGGAGAGAGTCCAAAGTCGTCCTGTGTTGGTTTTAAAAGAACTTCTACAGTAACTGTTGAAGACCAGGAGGAATCATGCAATGGGAAAGTCAAGTCGAAACAGCTTTGTAGGTCTCAGAGTTTGCTTTTCAGTAATCCTAGAAGAAGAAGTTGCCGCATCAATATGCCTGTCGCTGAAATTACCATGAGGCCCAATTGTGTGGGTCACCTTGGACAAAGCATCACAGATGTGTCTGTAGCCATGGAGAGTGAGCCTTGGGATTCCAGGACCACAGTCAGGAAAAGACTCTGCCAAAGTACCTTAGAGCTTTCAGGAAAGTCTTTTCCTTCAGATTCTTCTATGCTGACTGGCACGCAGAGTAAGGTTGATGCTTCCCACTGCATGAAATAGTAACTTTCACTGATGACTAACCCTTTGTTTTTTGCTTTCCTCTTGCACTTTAGAATTTGCTTTGCTTTTTGCAAAACAAATGTTTGGTTGACCATGCTTTTTATAGGTATTTTGTATTTTTGTAAGTTTTACTTGAGTTATTTAGCTTTTTGATCCTTAGCATATTTTATGTAATAGCATTATGTCTCTTCCCATCATTCTTCTTCCCCATATTCAGTGATTTGGGTTACAAATAACCTTTTTTTGTTGTTGTTCAAGTGAATGATTCTTAACATCCAGATGGACGTATCATAATAGCCGACATTTCGATAGAGCTTTACGGTTTACAGAATACTTCATAACCCAGTAAGATAGGTAGTGGTATAAGTGTTCTTATCTCCGTTTTACAGATGAGGAAGTTCAGACTGTGAGAGGGTAATGACTTGCCTAGGATCACACATGTGGTAGAGATGCTGGTCTCCCACCTGCAGGTCGAGTCTTGGCTCTGCTTCACCACATTGTTTCTACCTGGTGTGAACAAGAGTCTACTTTATTTGAACATCCATAACAAGATTACAGCGATATTGAGTAGATGAAATAAGGCTCCATGAAACCCGCTGGCTTTTACTGCCTGCTAATGACAGGTCATCGTATCCCTGACTCTTTTTTTATGGTAGTAACTTTTCCTTGTAGGTTTACTGCAGCCTCACTTAGAGAGAGTTGCCATTGATGCCCTGCAAGTATGCTGCTTGTTGCTTCCTCCGCCAAACCGGAGAAAGCTCCAGCTTCTAATGAGGATGACTTCTCGGATGAGTCAGAACGTTGATATGCCAAAACTTCATGATTTGATGGGGACAAGATCACTCGTAAGTTTTCTCTTTAAGAAATGATAGATTCTGGTGGGAAGAGGAGAGAAAAAGGACATTTAATACTGACACATAAGTGTGTCAACTTGTAGATGACTGTAAGAGAAGATATCAGAAGATTGCCCCCTGTGACCCCACTCTCACTTATTCTCAGTCTCACCCTATCTACTGGCTCCTTCCCTACTGCCTACAAGGTATCTACAATCAATGCCTTTACTTTCTTTCCTTTCACTCTTCTTAATTTCTTACAGATCCCTGAAATCGCTGTCCCCAAAGTTACCAATGATCTCCAGGTTGCCAAATCCAATGGCCTTTTCCCAGTCCTCATTCTCCTTGGCCTCTCTGCAGTCTTTGACACTGTTGACCACCAGGGGCAGAGGGTACTGAGGAGGTTTGGAGTTGATTTCATCCTGCAGGAAGATGAATTTCTGGAAACAAAGATGAAATCCCAACCCAGTTTGGAATTGATTACTGCCCTGGGCCTTGTCCTTAAATGGGGAATCTGGAAGGTCTCCTATGTCCCGTTCCCCGCCCCCCCCCCCCAACCTCTCCAGTCATATTTAATGAGGTGGAGTGGACAAACTAATGATGCCCTCTTACCACCTGCTCCCTATGATCTACCCAACATAGAAGGGCTATGGAGAGGAGTATTTCAAAAAATTGGAAGATTGTGAAAAATCCACAAAGGCCCCTACCATCTGTTCTGCCATTTGCAAATCCCGCCTTTCTAATGAAGGCATAGAGGCTGGAAAAACCATTTGCCTTCAAAAATGACACTTTGGAAATGAGCAATTGTTCTTTAAGGTACTTTCTCAGTAAGAAGACTGTTCCCTTGGTGGCATCAGCTTGAACACTCCGTCGTAGTGCACATATGTGCCACCAAAAAGATCAGGAGCAAACCTGGCAGTCCACGAAGCAATCACATCTCTGTAACAGTCCAGATTTGTGAAAGTTTTAAAATTTGAGTTACCACAATGAGATAAAAACTACCCAAACTTGGAATGAAAGGCTAAAGACTTGGCCTCTGTAGTATGTATGTGACAATTATTGACAATTAACAGGAGAGCCAAGATTTTAAGAATCTGATGATTGTACTTGTATATGGTTATATTTTTTAAAATGGGCTTAGTGATAAATGTGGATTCTTGCCTCTTCTAAGGCCCATCCTTGCAGGTCCCCCATCCTGTTGGATATTTCCATCCTGATGGCCCCCAAATACCTGAAACTCATCCAAAGTTAATTTTTCCCCCAATCTTCATGTCCTAACTTGTTTTGTTGTTCTTTCATTTTGTATGACACTGTTCTTCTCCCATTCATGTAGGCTCAAAACCTTCGAGCCCTCTGCCCTCTTGGACTTTCTCTCTCTTTTAACCCTCATAGTTAATCACTTGCTAAAATACAATTAATTATTCCCCCATATGTCTCTCCTCTCTGCCTTTTTCTTCTCTTGCACCACCTTAGTTTAGGCCCTGATGACCTCCCACGTAGACTGAATAAGCTTCCTACCTAGTGTGCCCCTGGCCAGTCCATCCTTCATCTAGCTAACGGTACATTACTGGTATGCGAGCTGGCTTATGTCTGTCCTCTACTCAGAACCTTCAGGGCCCCTAATCTATGGAGTGAAAAGCAAACTCTTGCCCTGTTCTCCAAGGCAGTTGTGCCAAGACAGAGGCCAAGTCTTTAGCCTTTCATTCCAAGTTTGGGTAGTTTTTATCTCATTGTGGTAACTCAAATTTTAAATATACCTTAAATTTCTAAACTGGACTCCTAGCCAGTTCCTGATCTTCCCCAGTGCTTTCCTAACCCTGCCACATCTCTGTGCATCCCACCGCTATCTTTGGCGTAGACTTACTTTTTCAACATTTCCTTAAAGCTCAAGGCAGGTGCCTTCTCTTCCACAGAGGCTTTCTGGGCCTCCCAGAGATAAGTGATTCCCCACCCCCACCTCCTTCTTCCTGTTTGCTTGTGCCTGTCTCTGACTTCTCCTGTGCATTTGTTCCTTCTAACTTTTAAGGTTACTTGTCCATGCATAGATGTTTGAATCACTCATGGGCCTAGAGCAGTTATTGTTTATATTAGATACTTAATAAATCTTGATTAAATTAAACTGAATGTGATATGAAATTACTTTTTTCCAAAGTTTTAAAAGGTAAACCAGTTCCAATTTTGCAACTCCTGATGAATACTGGGTTTTGGTGTGTTATATATTCTCCTGATTTATATTTTTGTTGGATTGATTTTATGTGAAGAGTCATTGTTTTCTAACCAGTTTTAAATTTAAGCAGCTTACATCAATCTGGTATTAATGAGTGCTGTCCGGTTTCCTGATGAAATAAGGAACATTTATGAAAAGAAAATCCTAAACCTGTTTAATCCTGTGGAATTGTTTGGTTGAAAAATACTCAGCTAATGCAAGATCATTAGTAGAGAATTAAGCAAAGCCAGCATTCTTAATCTTTCTAACAGGAGTAAATTGTCTTCATTTGAACATTGAAATCAGCTTATGGCTTCATCTGAATGCTTCAGCTTGGTACTGCCAGGAAATGACCGATCTTCTGATTCCTGTGAAAGTCTGGGTTTTTATTCCCAATTTCTGAAATGCTTCCAGATGATACAGACGTTTTCCCGATGCGTGCTGCGCTGTGCTGAGGAAGTCGATCTCGACGAGCTGCTTGCTGCACGGTTAGTTTCCTTTCTGATGGATCATCATCAAGAAATTCTTCAAGTGCCATCCCACTTACAGGCTGCCGTGGAGAAGCACCTGGACTGCCTGAGAAAGGGCCATGTAGGTACTGGGAAACTCCTAATAGTAGACTATCAGCCCTTCTGTCTTAAAATGAAATAAAAACATTAAGTAAACTTTGTAGCTCATTTCAAAGTTGAGATGAGCCTTTCCAAAGAGTTCTAGGTGTGCCTCACGTGCAGACTAGTAGTTACCAAATTTCAGTGCAATGACCCTTTTTCATATGAGAACAGAAATAACAGAATTTTCTTATATCCCTTTATTCTCAGATTACGTATCCTGGGGATGAGCTGATTGCTGCTTTACCAACTTACTCCTATTGTAAGCAGATAAGCACCCAGGAGTTTGATGAACAGAAAATTTCTACCTCTCAGGTTGCAATTGCAGAACTTTTGGAGAATATCATCAAAGACAAAAGCTTATCTCTAAAAGAAAAAAAGAAAAAATTGAAGCAGGTAAGAGAAGAAATCTTTTGATAGTTACGTGACCATTTTCTAAGTTGAGTACGTTGTTAGAGAACCATAGTTTACATAGAGGACAGCCCTAATAAAACAATCAGACCGAAGGCAGGTGACAGACATGGGCGCTTTGACCTCCACAAGTCCAGCCCTAGGCTCAGCCCCAAGGAGGCGGCTACTTGTGGAATCTATCAGAAAACTCTCGTTCCAACCTTTGCTGTTGTGTAAATGTCGTGTAGTGAGTATAATTAAGTCTCCCTTTGATTGAAAACCTTTCAAGATTTTTGGAACGTCAGTTATCATTACACTATGCTGTAGACATAGAAGGTAAGGGAAATTAAGGGAGCATATTCTGACCCCCCGGAAACATTTTAAAAATAAGTTCCTGACATCAGAGTGTGCTTGTTTGTCATTTGCCTTTAGGGAATCAAAGTCTTGATTCTGTTTTTTTGAAGTTTTCTTATTAACAAACTATATAAATCTGCATGATGATCTTGCAGTCCATGAAGCTGTTGCTGCACAAATGTGTCAAGTGGTTAAATTTGTAGTCTGGTGATAAACTGAACTTGCTAGGTGGAAGCTCAGATGCTTACAGGAAATGCTTGACAAAGTACCTCTGGGATGCCCCACCCTTTGTGGCGCGAGCATTGCCTGGTTGAAATGCTGAGGCAAAAGGAGAGCATAGAGAATGATGGTGATTTGCAATATTTAGAAACATGATATTTCCAAATTTAGTTATGCCCCTAGAAATCATCTAGTTCAGCCTCATTTTACAGAGTTTAAATAGCCCTGGAGTTTAAACACCATGTCATCATAGACAGGGCCCCAGAACTCTCACCCTCCCATTGGGTGGCCGCTCCAAACCTTACTCAGTCGTCCTTCCAAATCTTCTTTTTAAGTTTCAGAAGGAATATCCCGCCATCTACCAGAAGAGATTTCCGACAACAGAAAGTGAAGCCACCGTGTTTGGGGACAAGCCGACAATCAGGCAACCAATGCTAATTCTAAGAAAGCCAAAGTTCCGTAGCCTTAGGTACTGACCGATTATCAGACGCTATTAAAAGAAGCCATATACTGAAGGACGTTACGTTAAGGCAATCTGCCTTTCCTGTCCTTTCCCAAAATGAGCGTGTTACAGACATAGAAAGGTGCCAAAGCAGTTAGTGCTTCCTCTGGAAGATCACATAGAACGCAGTAGGTCTCGATGGAGAACAAATGAAGAGTGAAGGCACGATAAGTAACCAGAAGTTTTCTGAGCATCTCATGCAAACGACTGGAAAAGCCATGACCATGTGGGCTATAACTTGATGCACATGACTGTTGGCCAAAGGATGCCTGAGCAGCAAGACGAACTCAGAATTCTTTGAAAAGATTTACTCACGTGTGCTATGTGGACATGCTGGGACATGAAGTTCTAGGTGATTAGGGTTGCTAGTTAACTGTTTAGTCCAAGGATAGCTTAGTGAGGAATTTTTATAAACTCAGTAACTTATATGTTCTGCTACGTTTTGCACTCATATGTTTTTCCATATTTTTTATATATTTGTGTGTATTTGTTCAAAAGCTGAAAACAATATAACATTTCACTTGTTTTCTGACACATTTACTATATTTCTGTCTGGTGGTTCAACCAGATGAGATGCGTGCTGTGTTAAGGATACGAAAGAAATGTTAGCCTTGGCCTGTGTCTCCCAACCCAGGAGTGCGAGGCCCTGACTCCACCTAGTCTTACCTTCTCCACTTGGACCCATTTGGGGCCCAGTTTGAGGGGAACACCTTTCATAGGCACAAACCCAGGGCCAGGGTTAGTTCCGACAGATGTCTTTGTAAAATCCCAGTAGTCCTTGCCCTACCTCCTGCACAGAATTGTGGTGAAGAGTGTTCTTTAGAAAGGTCACCTGCTCAAGAAGGATGATGCCTTGTTCACCCAGGAAGATGTCACGAATAACATGGAAATGGGGGTAGGGAGCTGCTTATACTGAGCACCCTCACGACGTGGACTTCCTCCTCCAGTTTACAAATTTGTTCTCCACCCTAATAATTTAACCCTTTCAGTCAAAAAAGAGGCTGAATTGAGAAATAGGGTACATTCAGCTTCTCAGTGGAATTTCATGATGCCTTAATTGCTAAATGATAGCATTCTATTTAACGTGTTACCACTTTTTATTAAAAGGTTGGATAGTTTAAAGAGAGATGGTTCAGATAAGTATACATTTCATCCAGAGAGCTTGTCTCTAAAATTGCTGAACATACTGAACCCAATTACATCTTAAGTATGTCCAAGTACTTTGTATACAAGCATTTTTGCTGTTTAAAAATATGTGATAATGTGATTGTGCTGGAAGTTGAGGTGAAAATCATTATGTGGATTTTTTGTAATGGCTTAATTTTGTTTATTTGTATATTTAACTACCTTAATAAAGATATAAGTAGACACAGTAAAAGACTTATAATCATGAAATTAAAAGTTTTAAAATGCCTGGTAAAATAAAACTTTTAAGACCAACGTTGTTTACAACTAGTAACACCTCCCAAGTATTTTTGTCAATTTAAAAACACCATCAAGGTGTGTACCTGATTGTGTGTATTAGAGATGGATGAAAAAGTTTGAAAGCTAGACTGTAGCTTCACTGCCTCTTAAGGAAAATGGCATATAATGTCATCAAAGCCCTGTAGCATTTAGAAGCCCAGCATGTTGTATCCTGTTAGTTACTTTAAAATTAATCAGTTGATTTTATGTTTCCACGTATACTTTTTTTTTTGCATTTTTAATGATACTCACTACATTTTTTTTTCTTATACAGTCTTCAAATACTTCTCACAAATTAGAGCTAGAGACTGCCCTATCTGCCAGTTCTTCCAGCCTAGGCCCAGAACGACAAAATCGATTGGGGAGGAACTACAGAAGTCATCTCATCCAATATGTAAATCCCGCCCCCCCCCAAATTGTCCATCCAGCCTTTGCTTGAAATCTCCTCTTGCAGATGACCTGCTTTGGAGCAGCACGCATCGCTGTTCTGAATTCTGCCTGTCGGGCCAAGTCTCATTGAGCTCCCACATTAAGGCCGTTGGAATGCAGGAAGAAAAACATCCTGCATCCTGAAGTCCTTCTTCACCTGGCGCAGGTTTCTAATTCTCTCATCATCCTGTTCACCCTCCTCTGCTCTTTATTATTCTTTCTCAAGCATCTAGAACTGAATTAAACTCCAAACGTGTTCTAGCCACAACAGCATACAGGAGGAATATCCCACGTGGCTATCAGCCTCCTCCATAAGGCAGTCTAATGGTAATATCTTTGAGCTGTTGACTAAAATGGTCGGCACTTTTCCTCATGAAAATGTTGCCCAGCTCAGGGGTCTCCAAATAATAATTTTGTTAGTAACTAATTATTCAGGTCATTTAATCAACATAGATAGGTGATTTTTTTTTTTTAGATTTTCTTTAAATTAAAAGACAAGAATTGTCCGTAACGGTGAACATCATTTTTCATTAGGAGTCATTTCTTGGGTAGGCATTTGCCAAACGCCCTGCAGAAACAAGCCCAAGTGGATTGTTTGTGATTTGGGGCAATATGTGTATGCACTATTGCACACCCAGAGTTCCCTGCCCTGCAGAACGGGGTGGGAGCTGTATTTGCTCATCTCTTCCAGGCCGGCAGCGGTCATTATCATTACATAGTGTTCAGTCTCAGGCATCGTTGCAGTCACAGATGGCATTTTCTTAGTACTTACTACTTGCTTCACTTTACTTTGCATGAGTTCATCGAAGTTCCCATGCTGATTCTCTTCAGTTCTTTGTATTCATGATCAAGGAGCATTTATGAAGCATTTAGTATAGCAAAAACAGCCCCTGTCCCAAAGGAGAGGGAGGGGGCATTTCTTGTTTGTTGACAGTTCTTGGGTCCTGCGCCACGGTCTGCTGTGGATATTTGCCTCTGCAGCTTTCCCTGGCAGAGGGATCTCTGGGTCGAAGGGAGGAACCTTTTAGTTTGTGGGGTTTTTGCATGATTGCGAATTGTTCCCTAGAATGATCAGACCATTTCAAAGCCCCACCAGCCGTGCATTAGTGTGTTCACTCACACAGTCCCTCTGATGCCCAAGATCTTTTGAAAGATGGTCAGATTGGTCAGTGAGGAGTCCTTACGCTTCTTGACTTCTGCAGAATCTGACGCCGGTGCCCACCAGCTCGGATGTTGGTTTTCTGTGAAATTTCTCCCTCCTGGTTCTCCTACCTATCTGGCTGCTCTTCAGTTTGCCATCCCTCTAACACGAGTTCTCATGTTCCTCTCTCCCAGGCCCTCTTGTCTTTTAGCCTTTTTGTTATTTCCACCCCCTCTCATCTCTTTGTGGGCCCCCCCAGGTATGTACGTGAAGCCCTGGTCCGATGTCTCCACTGGATGTCTCCAGCTCACTTAATACGTTACTAATAGAACTCCTCATTGTCTTTCCTTCCCAAACTCTCCTGCCCTCCATTCTTCCAGTCACTCATTTACCACCCAGAAGTCACCGAGAACTCTTCATCCTCCCTAGCCTGCCACATTCAGATAGCATTTCTGTAGTATCCTCACAATAACCCTGGGAGGTAGGTGCACACAGGTGCCTCATACATACGTACATAACATGACTTGCCCAAGGTCACAGCTAGTAATTTTCAGGTCAGATTTGAACTCGAGTCTTGCAGACCCCAGGTCTGGTGCTCTATCCAACAAGCCTATTCCCTCTTCCGTGAGGCATCCTTTCAGATATTTAAAGATGGTCGTTGTATCCTCTTTCCTTTTTTCTTCTCGAGTCAACAAGCATTTATTAGGCACGTACGTACCCAGCTCCTTTAACTGAGAGACAGGTGGCATCATTCTGGGGCCGTTCACCCTTCTGCCTGCCCTCTAGATGCTCTCCAGTTTATTAATCTTCCTGAACTGCAGCCCCCATTGCAGATGTGTTCTGACCATGGTGGAGAAGAGTCCTCAAGACCCTTCCCTGGGCCTGTCCAGGGTACGCTTCTTGATGCAGCCTGAGATCACATTCGCTTTTTCACCGCCACCTCAACACTATCAGCTAATTGTGATCTTGGAGTCCTCTCAAACCCCCAGATCTTTTTCACATAAACTGCCCCTGAGCCACAACTTGTACTTTCAAGTTGATTTTTTTGGACCCACATAAAAGACTTTACATTTATCCCTATTAAATTTCACCTAATTCTTTAGTCCCATTATTCTAACCTGTCCAGATTGTGGATCTGCTATCAAGTGTTAGCCAGCCTTCACAGCACTGCGTCATCTGCAGATTTGGTGGTGTGCCACTTTCACAACAGTAAATGGAAAAATAATATTACCACTAATGAATCTCCGTAACCTGTCCCTCAGATTCGTATCTGTTTCTGTGAGGCTGCCAAGCTGTAGGGAGTGATGGATGGTCCTATAGAACATGAAGGATCTGGCGCAGATCAGTGGGCTCTGTCTCCACGCCTGCTGCCACCTGCTGGCCCTAATCATGCTCTCCTGTTCTGCCATGAACATACAGATGTCCTCTCTTCTAAAAATAAATCATTTCAGGCGATCTCCCACATTGATTCTCAGAATCTGAACAACCAGCCTAGAGTGGCGACTCTTTGGCTGTTTCTCCGTACCTACTTCCTGTCAGGATGAGAGGATTTTTTAAAATAAGCTCCCAGCACGATGCTCTGTCTGCAGCATCCTGCACCAGGAGAAGGTCTGCAGTGGAGAGGACCCATGAATACCAATTGAGCTGCAGTGGGGCTGAGGGTGGGAGACGGGACGGGGACGGGGAGTGAGGTTTCACAAATCAAAAAGCCCATCCCAAAATGAGCTCAGTTGGACGAGTGCTATTTGTGTTAGAAGTAGCGATGTGGCCCATTACTAGAGAATATATTATGATGGAGTGTAGTGGGAATGCTTCCTGAATCTGTGAGCAGGCGTCTTGTCCTTGGCATCCAAAGACTGCTGCGTCTCAGTGTGCCTCCAACTAGAACCTCATGCTGGCCAGTGAATGAGAGGACCGAAGAATGAAGTGCCTTTCCCTCTTTAGTGTTCGTTTTACAAAAGCATTTGTCACACACTTCCTGACTGTCCCTTTCCTGTGGAACATAATCTGAAGGTGTCATTGACATTTCATTGCCCTCAGTTTTATTTCTACTGATAGTAATGATGGTGAAGTAATGGGGATTGATCAGGAGAGCCCGTGATCCATTTGATGGTTATTTGATGGTTCCGCCCTTTGCTGGAAGAGGGGCCTGTGAGGGGGCAGGCGTGCACCCCAGCCCTCCACAACCTCTGTGGTTCGGTGGCAATAGTCACCTTGCTGTCCGTGCACATGGCACCCTGTCCCCAGACTCTGGGCATCCAAGCATATGCCCTAGTGGTTCATCTTGCTTGAAATTGTCTTCATCTGCACCGCTGCCTCTTGGCTTCCCTGACTCCCTTCAAGCCTTAGCTAAAATCCCATCTTCTGCAGACATTCTTTCCTGCTCCCCCTTACACCTAGTGCCTTCATTCTGAGTACCTCCAGACCTCCAGTTCTCCTGTCTACATCTCATTTGTATGTAGTTGTTTGTGTATCATAGAATATGAGCAAAGTGTGTGTCTGGGGGCCAGGGGAGGGGAGGAGGGATTATTTGTACAAGATAACATGGCAGCATTATTCACAATAATATACGCCCAAACACAGTAGAACCCAGGTGATTTCATGATTGCAAAATGACTCAGAAAAGTGAACATAGCAGAATGGATTACTTGATTTGTTGTTGAGTCATTTTTCAGTCTTATCCAACTTTTCGTGACTCCATTTGGGTTTGTTTTTGTTTTTGTTTTTGGCAAAGATACTAGAGTGGTTTGCCATTGCTTTCTCCAGTGTGTCCCCATTTTACAGATGAGGAAACTGAGGCAAATGGGGGTCACACAGCTAGTAAGTGTATGAGGCCCGGCATCGTCCGCAGTGCCACCTAGCTGCTTCTGGATTACTTGATAAGAAATGGCAAACATGAAGACTGCAGAGAAATCGAGCTGGACTTTATGATATAGCAGAAAGCAAAACAAGGATAACATTTCCCTACACACGTGTTCTGGTTTTCTCCAAAGGCTCCATGATACTGGAGCAGGGAGCTGATGTTGGGTTTTTAAGGCTGGGTTCATGGTGCCAAGCTCTGACAGGCGAGCCTCCAAGGGCAGCCTTAGTGACAGGCTACGTCTGATTTCCAGCAGCCAACCCTCCTCCTTATGGAGAGTCCGTCCCCCACAGGCTGGCCGCCTAGGCTTGAATTCTTTGGCCCTGCAGGGACAAGGGGGGAGCTAAAGGCAGTGTTTTTATTTCCTGCCCCCAGAAGAAAGCCCTTTGCAGCCTGTCTATGTAAATAGGAGCTGGTTTTGACAGTCCTGTGAATGCATTTAATTAA